TTTTAACTTTATTTTTAAATTAATTTTTAAGTTCTTTATTAACCTTATAAACCTAAAGTAGATACTACTATCTATTATAATAATTACTAAGAATTTTAAAATTAAAACTTTAACTATTTAGGCTAAAATTCTTAAATAAATTATTCTAAGTTTAAAAATATCTCTAATAATTAATATCTAAATAATACTAAGTTAGAAGTATATTATATTTAGTATTATAGTTTACTTTATAGATAAAAACTAAAATTATTACTATATCCTTTTTAGTACTCTTAATATTATAAGAAACTATATTATAGAGATTATTATAAATATAATTATTAAAACTTTTAAAAAGCTTTTAAACTTTAAATTTAAATTTAACTATATTTCTATAGATAATATTTCTAACTTTATATTAAGTATCTTAGTTAAGTTCTATAGGATTATATTTACTATATTATAACTTAAAATTACTTATATTTAATACCTTATTTATATTATTAACCTTATAGTTTAAGAACTATATAATTACCTTAAAGTTACCTATATATTTATAATAAGTAACTTTATATAATATATATTAAATATAAATAATAAAGAAGTTATTAAGATTATTATACTACTATAATAAACCTTAATAAAGTAAGCTACCTCTATTTTATAGAATATAGATTAAGAAATTTATTTAGATAATAAAACCTCTACTAATTATAGTCTAAATAGGATTTTATTATTAGAAAGTTAAATTAAAAAATATTATATTTTAATACTTATTATAGTAATTACTAAAGTAGGGTACTTTATTCTTAATCCTTTATATCTATTATTATTTATAACCTTTTAGGTTTAATACTTTATACTAAAGATTAAATTTAGCTTAATATACTCCTTAGAGTTTCTAATACTTTAGAAAAATAGTGAAAATAAAGACCTTATAAAGTACTTTAAATGTTTAATTATTAATATAAAGACTTATTAAAACTTAACTATATTAATATTAGTTTATACTTTTAAACTTTAAACTCTAATTAATACTTAGTTTAATAACTATAATAATAATATCTCTTTTAAGCTAGAAGCTAATAAATAGTACTAAATTAAAGTTATCCTCAATATTTCTATATACTTCCTTACTATTATATATATTCTAAGCTAGAACTAAGCTATTAATATTACTTATATAATTACTTTTATAAAGATCTATTATAACTATTTAATAAAATATTAAGAAGCTATTAAGAAACTTAATACTAATAAGAATAAATATTAGGTTTTATCTCTTTAAAAAGTAGTATAAATAATAGTAGATAAACTTAAGAAGTATTAATTACTATAAGAAAAAGATTAATTTCTTTATATATCTTTACTATTCTTATATCCTTTATTTATACTAAATATAGTAAATAATAATCTAAGATTTTATAGTATTTATAAAACTTATTTTAGCTTATTAGCNAATAGTTTTTAGTATAGATTTTATAATATTTATAAAGCTTATTCTAGCTTATTAATTAATACTACTTAGAAAGAGTTTATTAAAATCTATACTAAAAACTATTATAAGGATAGCTTAGAAAACTTAAAATCTACTCTAAATAAGGTTTATAGATCTATTTATAGTTTAATAGCTTTAATACTCTAAAGTCTTAAAAAATAAATATATTATAACTTTTCTTCTATCTTTATAATAACTTATTATAATAATCCTTATAAAAATTTTATTATAATAATCCTATTATAATAATCTTATTATAATATTATTTTAATTACTTAGTTTATATACTTCTTTAGAACTAAAGATAAATATCTCTTTTAAATAGATTTAATATTATTTATAATTTCCTTAAGAAGTATAAATATTATAATCCCCCCCTTTTTAGAAATAATACTAAATTAATATTAAGTTATTATACTAAGTAATTAATTTAAAACTTCTAGAAAAACTTAGAAAAAGATCTAAAATATTATAATTTTTATAGAATAATTTATAACTATCTTTATATTTTCTTTAGTATTATCCCTTTTAAATAAGTATTTAATTTTAGTAGATATATCTATTATTATTTATACTTTAATATAAAACCTAAAATAATTTTCTATTAACTCCTTCTTACTATTTAGAATAAGTAATAGGAATAGCTTTTATTCTCTAATCTAAAACTTTTTATTTTAGAGGATAATATACTTAAGAAACTTAATAAAGATTATACTATATTAATTTACTAAATATTCTAATATAAAGTTCTTAATATTAAGAACTTTTATACTATCTCCTATAGGTTTATTATTAANAATATACTTAAAATGTTATTAATATCTTAAGTAATAATAATAATAATAATATTTAAGATATTTAAAATTTAGTATAACTAAAGTTTTTAGATATAAAACTTATTAAAACTAATAACTAAGTTTTAAACTTTAATAATAAATTAAACTAAGTTTTTTAGATATTACTTTTAAACTTAAGTATATTATAGTAAAGTTTATAAGTTTATAAATATTCCCCCCTATTATTAAATTAGAGAATAAGAGAGTAATTAAGTAACTAAAAGACTATAAATAAAATAAATTATAGTAAATTTCCCTTATTAAAAATTAATAATATAGTAGAATAGTTTAATTTATCTCCTATATAGTTTAGATACTTTAATTTAAACCTTAACTCCTCTCTAAACTTATTTTAATATATTATATTTATTAAATAAACTTTTATTTAAAACTTAAATTATAGTCCCTATTATACCTATATACCTAATACTTAAATATTAAAATCTTATTTAATACCTATACCTACTTAATACTTACCTAAGTACCCCTCTATAATCTATAGACTATATAGGTATATACCTATATAAGTATCTATAGATAGTTTAAAGCCTACTAATAATAGACCAGCTATGCATATTAGTAATATCTATAAAGGCAGAAAATAATTGAGAATAGCTTATAGAGGGAAGAACGTGTGAATGCTTTTATTGTTGAACTCCTTATAGCATTAAGCCATAAGGACTATAACCTCCTCTCTAGTCTAACTGAGACCTCTAGCTAGGTGCGCCAGGCAAATCAACTCCCAACCCGTTAATAGGTTCTCACTCATCCAGGTCGCAAGTTCCTTAAATCTGGGGTCCTTAGGCCAGGGGTTGGTTGGCCATTTGAACTGGAGAGCCTGGACATCAACAAAGCCTGCTTCGATGAAAGTGATTTTCAAATCTCTCATGAGCTTGAGTGGTCGTCCGTATGTCTGTTCAGTAGCTTCCTGTAGAAGCTTGCACGACTGCAAGATTGCTGAGTTTGACTTGAGACTTCCGTCATTTGACATGGGATATACGTCGCATTCGTTGAACTCGACATATCCGCCCGGGTTGAGATTACTAGAATGCTTAGTGAGGCACTTGACGCCGCTTTACCGCTCTGCGGAAATGTAATACTAAAGAGAAATCCGACGGGTCAAAAACTTACTCGAAGCACTGCTTCACATATACTTCCCAGTTACCGATAGACAAATTCAGAAGTCGGCTATGTATATAATCGAACTTCTTGGAGTAGGTCCATGGCTCCTCAATGTCGTCGATCTTGAACTTGACGTTGGGTGCCACGCTATAGCAGGGATGGTCAGTGAACATCAGTCCTCAAGTTTCTCCATGAGCTCAAACACGACAATCCGAGGGCCATACAAGTCTGGTTGTGTGGGAGAAAGATCGACCCCGAGAATCTAGATCTTGTGGTTAGTGACAGGGTTTCTGTACAGACGTCCAGCCTTGTGCTACCTCAGCTTCTGGATGTTCGTCGCCGAACTCAAGGGCCCAAATCCCAGTGCCAGTCCCTAGATCTAGTACTCGGCCAACCTGGGCACCTTCATCACTAGGAGGGGCGTTGGCCAGTCTTCCATTAAAGGTGAGACGAAATAAATGATGTTGTAGGTCTTCAATGCGATATTTAGACACCGTAATATTGATGAATATTTGAGCACTCACCGAGCCGATCATTCTCTGTCTCATCGTTCGGTAATATGTACTCTGCTCGATATTCAGTAATTAACTCAATTAGGTTAGCGATTTAACACCTACTGCCCTCCTTGTACTTATGATACGTTCTCCCGTTCTCGAATCGGTGGTCAAGAATGGAGCTGTTCAAGCTGACACTCGATGATGCCACGCTCTATGTTTCTGTAGGTCAGCCATCGTCTACATCTACACATATATCGTATTACCGATTGAATTGCCGATGCAGCATCATCGTCATCCTAGATTGCTCGTTGATTAGCTGTCTTACCCTTTCTGAGTTAAGCGGTTTAGCTTACATCATCGGCAATCAGCACGATCTCCCGGTCGGCCACGTTGCTGGCTTGGGCTTGGGCGTCCTGTTGCTGAGACATTCTCGAATCCGCAGAAATTGTTGTGTCAGTTTTGGAAAGTGGATTGGAGCTGCAAAGCGATGAGGACACTTGAGGTTTGAGAAAAAGCCGGTTCGTGTTGGAGGCAAGACTCCTAAGGTCTAGTCGTTGTTGTCAGGGTTAATACCCCTCTTCTTGATTGGGAATGCACTTTGACACCGCATCTTCCAAGAAGATCCATAGCTCGCATAATCATGGATGTCCGAAGATGGAAATCGTGCGTACTGGGGTTGCAGACAAACGCTCCAAAACGTCATACGACCTGTCATCTCATGGCAGCACGAATTGACACGATTGGTCTCAAATTTATGCAATAGACTACGAAGACCAGGGATTGACTTGTCGATTTGTTTTGGGTGGCAGAAAAACGCGCGTTCAAGAGATCTGCCCAATTACATGTTCTGCTACCCTAGAAGTTGTGTTGGAACTATGCAGCGGACAAGCACCGGCTTCACCGGGGCGGTTGGACCACTAGCCCCGCGATTTATGTACCTTGTACTTGCACCTCGATGCGTTTGCCCCTTTGAGAAACCACATACACAGCAAAGTCTCGTGCGGGAATTTCATTCCATCCTCACAATTCCGAAACATGAAGCGTGGGTAAGGACTGACGAGGAATGGAACCCGAAGATCATGCCCAGGAGGAACCTTTGATTGCTATCTTAACCTTATAAACCCCTTTTGAAATTGTATTCCTTTAATGGCTAGATTTGGGATTCAAATACTAGAACCCGTATCCGGACCAACTGTCATTGACCTTGTCCTGAATATCTTGCGAGTAAGAACCTCGAAAAGAGCCATGCTTCCAGCTCAGATTCGAGTCCATAAATTCTGCAGGAAACATGCAACAACGCACGACCTTGACATGGTTCTTTCTATCTTTGATTCCATGGCTTACATATGGGATGAGGGGGATATTACCGTACGCGTCGAAAAAAAACTCGTTGGTCCCCGGCTGGCATCTAGTTGCCTCAGCCCAAATAAGCTCATTGAGATTGGTGGGGTCAATGTCTTCTCCAACCAGGTAGATCTTAGGGATGTAGAAACCAGGTTTGGTTGAAAAGACAGTGCGGCCAACCTTCTCGCAGAAATCTTTCATGTTGGTCCGAAGAGCGCGCAACTTGGACCAGTTGACCTGGAGGACAAACCAAAGGCAGTGAGATTCAAAAGGACTCCACACCATTTCAATTGGCAGCTCGGCGGCTTCGCAAATGTTCAGAACCTCAGCCGCCTGGGTAAGGGCCCAGACAGTCTCGCTCTCCTCAGTCGCCCTCCCGGCGACGCAGATGGGGAGTATAGGATCATCTCGGTAAGTGATGGCATCAATGTTGAATACCGGACAAGGCTTCCCTGATCCAGGGAACACGTGTCCGTGGTACTCGACGAAAGGTCCTTCGTCAGCGGTCTCAGTCCTTGAAACGACGCCTTCGAGAACAATCTCTGCATCGCGAGGAACCCAGATATTATTAGTCTCGGACTTGACGACATCCACAGGCTGGCCAAGAAGAGCTCCTACGAAGCCACTCTCGTTCACACCCTTGGGTATGGGCATTCCGCCGACCATGATGGCAGCAGGTGGTACGCCAAAGCAGAGAGAAAAGGGCATATCTTCGCCTCTGTCTTGCCACATTTTTCGAATGACACCGATATCTTGCGCTGACATGGTGGGGCCGGCCAGAGACCGTTTACCATTGACCATGCCGCGGGTGATTGACCAGTTGACCCACGAACCATCGGGGCTCTGAACAATATACATGCCGAATGTTTGCAAGTATTTACCGCCATCGTCTTCGTGGAAGAGAGGAACAGGAAGTCTTTCCAGGTCGATTTCATCTCCGAAGATCCTGTGCTGTTTGACCGGACCGGTCTCGAACTCCCTTGGACTAATCGGTTGACGCTTCTTTGCGCGGTTGATGGCGTAGATGATGTCCCGGCCGCTGGATTCGGACGGAAGTCCCAACGACTTTGCTATGCGAATAAACCTCTTTCCGGGCAAACTGCTGGCACCCACGGGTGCTCCCAAGACCCGAAAGAGACCGTTATTCTGGCGTCCTTTGATGTTTTCGAAAAGAGGAGCTTTGTGTTCAGTCTCGTACACCTTTCGTACGATAGCTGCTAGCTCAAGACGAGGATCAACTTCTTTGGAAATGGACAACAAATCGCCCTCCTCAGCCAGCTCCTTGACGTACTGACGAAAGTTGGCAGCAGCAAGGCCACCTGATTGTGAAGGGTGGAAAGGTGGTACCATGATGATATGCTGTCTTCAATTTAGGGCAATTGAAACAAAGTGATAACGGGCAGAGAATTTGGACAAACTGATGGCTTGAGTCGTTGGTGAAGTTTTGAGCTCTCTGGCTCAGGGAATTATGACGGCCAAATAACTAGACTCAGCTTGCTTTTAGCTCAAGGCGTTGTCTCTTGTAGCTAATGTTGTCACACGACCCAGCGCCGAGGTCCGTCGGGGGCTCCGTGGTGGTGAGGGGTCATCTTGCTTGCTTCGGAGTCGGACTAGGCTTAAACATCGCTATTTCACAGGCGCCCCTCATCATTTCGACCAAAGGGGGTCTTATGGGTCTTGCTCCCAGGTGTCATGACCGTGAAACTTTGCTTTGGGCCGTAAAGAGCCTCTAGCGCCGTGAGCGAATTTCTTCATCTTAAGATCTTGATGCAGTGATGCGTCAGGAAACGGGCCGCATCTGGGTCTCCGAAATGGTCTTCCATGGGGTTTTCCGGAATTTTCGGTTATGTTTCTTACAAATCGCGCCTTCGTGACGCGGCGAGGCTGTTTTAAAGACTCGGAACAGCTCCCGTAGTTCAAGTCGGATGTCCACCCGTAGTGCCGTGGTCCAGACCCAGAGCCTCTATGGGGACTTCGCTGGTCAAGTTACGTTATGGGCATACAAAAGAAGGAAAGCCTCAAACGTTCCTTGATTTATATCCGCGAATATTTCCCGAAATCCCCCACTAAAGAAACTAAAACTTGACCTCACACACAACCTCCTTATTGCCAGAAATATTCCCGGATCCTGGCGGGGCGAGCTTTGGCTTTAGTGCCTTGCTATTACGTCCAAGGTCCCTCTTTGCTTGGGGCAGACCCATGTTTTGAGCCTCACCGTTGATGTGCCCTCATGACTCTGTGACTCGCGTCTATTAGATGGAGTGAGGTATGCTACGATGGCTCATTTGCTTCGCATTCCGAGTGCCGTCTCAAGATGTTCTCATGTTGTTGAAGTATCTTGTCATGAGCCATACGCTTTTTGTCTGACCATCAGGCCTCGACGCTTCCTCTCAAAATTCCAGTCAAATCAAAACGCAAAACGCAGACTGCTCAAGAACAGCCACCACTCTCCACGTAACGTCCTTTCTGCTTCGGAATAACCCTCCTTCGACGGCAAAAATGGCTCAAGAAAGCAGTCCAAACAACGCAACTCCCCCTCAACCCAGGCGCAAAAGAATGATTGTTGCCCTCACCGGTGCTACTGGCTCCATCCTCGGCATCAAAACCTTGATCGCATTGCGCCGCCTCAACATCGAGACGCACCTCATCATCAGCAAATGGGCAGACAGCACCCTCAAGTACGAAACAAGCTACACCGCCACCAATGTTCGTGCTCTAGCAGACCATGTTTACAACAATCACGACATGGCCGCCCCAATCGCAAGCGGGTCCTATCGCGTTGACGGCATGATCGTCGTGCCATGTAGCATGAAGACGCTCGCCGCAATTAACTCGGGTCTATGCGATACGCTCATTGCTCGAGCTGCGGATGTTATCATCAAAGAACGTCGGAAGCTAGTACTTGCGGCACGCGAATGTCCCCTGAGTGGCATACATCTTCAGAACATGCTCTCTCTCACCCAAAACGGCGTCATCATATTTCCTCCAGTCCCGGCCTTCTACCACAGACCGGCAACAATAGACGACATTGTGGATCACAGTGTGGGACGGATGTTGGACTTGTTCGACTTTGACACCCAGGACTTTGATCGATGGGATGGATTTCAAAAGGACTAATCAACCGAGAACGTGCGATCTCTTTCCAAATAATGTTGCATTAAATACACTCCAGCATTCGAGTTCACCGTTTGTAAGAAAAATGTCGAACGGCCTCATAGGAATGTTGAGGAGAACCTGCCGAGAACCGGGTTACGTGAGTCAAATGCGATGAAAACATATTTCGGTGTCCCCAAAACACCCCTTGGTATCGATGACTGCAATCGCCTCGTTCATAGTCCCATGGCTCACTGGCTTTCGGTGACGCATTCCTATCTACCCAAGCAGACCGCCGCCAAGGGCATTTAAATGAAGGCAGTCGTCCAATCTACTCATGGCGTTCTCCTGAAGACACCATCCCACTATCAAAATAATTAACACATTTATCACGTTGAGTTCGTAGAAAATTTTGTAGATGTAGAATTGGGACGGAGCATACATACTGCAATTCTTATATAATGAAAGATCGAGAAGATTCCAGGACTTTCCGTAGCACCTGTCATCACATTCGTACCAGCATCCTTCCTTGATCATCTCGGGCCTCTTGGCATGTCGGTCTGCTTGAGCCAGGGATGCCAGAGCGGCAACGGCGACGGAAAAAAAGGCTGCTGGACGCATGGTTGTAGCGCTGACCGAAGACGAGTTATTGCTAGTCGCGGAGCTGCAAGCAAGAAGAAATGGTTTTTGAAGTCTTTGGCCGCAAGTAGACTTCGAAATCTTCTGGCAGGCTAGCATTATTTATATTTAAGGTACCTAGTCCGACGCAAAAGGCAAGAGCCATTATTGAACCACCTGAAATGCAACCGTGGATCTTTGCGCCAACGAAGTGGCCAGAGAAGCCGGCGACAATTGCAGATGTTTTCCTGTTTGTTGATTTAATTTCAAGTGAAGAAGTTATATATCAATAAAGTACTGTGAAGGCCCAGCCACCGGCGACGCCTCTCGCAATAATGAAGGCCACCAGTGCGAGGACGTACAGGCCACCTGCGAAGATGATCACCCCATAGTATGCACCGTCACACCATTGCAGGATAGCTCCCGCAAATGGCACGCCGACCAACGCGGCGATGCTCGAGATGGAGAATGCAGTTCCACTCCTTTTGCCGTAGTCCTTCGTCTCGCACACTCTACCGATGCACACAGGAGTCAAGCTAATAGCAGCACCCGACCAGAACCCAAAAAGAATAGCAAATGCCGTGGTCGCGGCCTCTCCTCCCTGTGCGGTCATCCAAAGAGCGAAGATGAAAGTTGAGCATACGAGAGCCGTCACGCACATAACGTTGAAAGGTCCAAAGCGGTCAGCGACGTAACCCGGCAGGGCACGCCCCGGTATGGCGCCAGCGTTGAGAAGCGCGTTCAGAAGTAACGACTTTTGCAGACCCATACCCTCATGAATGGCGTAAGAACATATGTAGGTGTAGGGTATGAAAACGGCAAATTCAATCAGGAAAACGGCCAGTGTTGTCAAGGCGAACTTTGCGTCTTGCAGCGCCGTGATGTCTATGGCAGCTCCGGCTTTCTTGTTCGGCGGTAGCCTCTTCTTGAGAAGCAGACAAGCCAACACGGACACTGCGAGACAGATGAAACCGACCGTCCTCAATGCCCAGGCAAATCCCACTCGTGGGGCAAGATAAAGGATAATGAGCGGAAATATAACGCCCCCAACACCTCCGGCGGTGCAAGCAATACCGGTTGCGAGGGCTCGTCGCTCGGAGAACCAGTGGCCAATGGCGGAAATGCTCGGGTTAAAGAGGAGTGAGGCAGACATGCCACCGAGAACGCCAAAGGTAAGAAAGAATTGGTAGAACTCTGGGAAAGGTCAGACATGAACAGGCAGGGTGTTGGATAAAGTTCACCTTTGCATAAACTCATCAGCATGATGGCAGCCACAATACCGATGCATCCCGGTATAACGAGATATCGCACATCATGGGCGTCGAAAATAGGGCCTGGTCACAACACCAAGTGAGTCAAACAAGCAAGACTGCCGATTGGGGTGTGAAAACATACCAACCTGAGCACCGCAGAAGTACAGGAAAAATGCATAGGTACTGAATAACCAGCCAATCGTTGACTCCGGCAGCCCTTGTAATTCATACTCCGTGACCCAGGCCTGGAGAACAGCCAGAGTGTTGAGAAGCCCCATCGATGGGATCATGGCGCACCATGCACCAGCAACGACCAGCCAGGCATCTTTACCGCCCTCGGGGTATTTCTCAGGTTCTTCCGTGGCAATCATCTCTGCCGGTCGAGGCTTTAGTGATTTTGAAACCTAGTTGATCTTTCGCACGACTCACCTTGGACGGCCGCCTCCGGAGATGGAAAGCCTGGGTAGTTTTCTTCGAACATGCCCAAGTTCAGCCTCAATGACCAGCTTCTCTCTCTTGGATTGCGGACAGTGCTGCTGAGAAGGATTTTATCAATGACAACAAGACTTCTATGAACCTGAGGCTCATATCACTTCAGCGACTAAGAGACTTGCATTGTCTTAAGTTCGACCAATCGGACTTCTGAATTTTCGAACGAGTAGCCCACTTTCATGTCTGTTGTGCCCTGGAAGAAGTTGGCGAGCCCTCGGGCGTGTTTGACGGTGCGGATGTGGGGTTGATAGGCGTCGGGAGAACGAGAGCCGGATGGCGTGGTCTCCACCGCGCCGCCGTTGTTTGCAGTGCTTACAAATGAGAGGGTCGGTGTTGGGCGTCGTTGACAGCAGCAGCATTCGCTTTCAGTGCCAGTTACGTGACAAGCTAAGCCAAGACCCAATATTGTAGGTCTCGAGTAGCTGGTTGAATTTTATCCCAGTCGAGGGCCAGGTTGTGGTTCGAAAACAACAAGGGGGGTAAGGCTCATTGTCGGTGAAGCTCGGTGAAGCACCAAGGCGCTGATGCTAGTCAGGGCATGGGGAGTTGAACATTATCATTAGGAGCTTTTTTCTTCTTTTAAAGAACTGGCCTCACTACCATCGGAAGTGTCCGAGAGTCAATATGGGGCTTATCTCAGGTCGCACGTCACGTCATTCGCGGAGTAATCTGCGGAGGAAACACAAGTGGGGGGTGGGAAACAGTAGTGTTATCTGAACCCCTCACGACATTGCAACCTCAGGTCAGTTTTGGACTTCTTCTGGCCCGATAATATATCAAGCGATTCTCCCATCACTCAATTCGGCTTTCTCATATATCGAAGGAGGCTTGTTTAACCGCCACAGGAAGGTCCTCGCGTTTACCACTGAAAAATGACTGCTGTTAGTAACGTGGAAAACGATGGAGTGAAAGTCATCACGATGTCCGGGGCTGAACGTGCCAGTGGGTACTACAAACCTCAGACTCTTGAAAAGGCACTCGAAGCGATGTACCAAGATGGTTTTGTGGTGCTCCGTGGAGTGATTGATGTTGACTTCATCGACAAGCTGAATGAGAAGATGTGCGAGGACGCGGAGAAGAAGATTGCCGATCCGACTCAACTGTACAACCATGGGATCAAGTGTACGGTGATGTGTTTCTCATTTGATTTTGATCAGCGTCTGGTTTTGAAAATCGGCATAACCTGACAACATGGTGCTTAGCAAATTTCCTTCAGCGACCCCCAGTCGATGACTCGGAGTTCCTCAGCAAGCAGCTTTACTTCAACAGCTTCTTGCTTCAGACTGTGAAAGCGTTCGTCTCTCGAATCATCTCTGTGAGTTGTGCAAGACAGTCAATCTAACTTACGCGGTGCTTGCAGGTATCTGGGCGGCAGGCCTATCTGGAACTGGCTAACTGCCAACACCGCATTGTCCGGTACCAAAGGTCTACGCCAACGAGCGCACAAAGACTCGTATGCTCACCCTCTCTATCCATACTATGTCATCGCGAACGTGCCACTCGTGGATTTCAGTCCCGAAAATGGATCAACAGAGTTCTGGCTCGGCTCCCATCAAACCACGACCCCATCTGATCAGATCACCTCCAAGAATCCTGTTGCCGAGGGGTACAATCGTGGCCGGCCCGGCGAACCTCTGCCACCCATCTCAGCAGAGGCCAAAGCAGCACGCATGAAGATCCGCCCACCAATTCAGCCAAGGTGTGTTCGCGGGGATATCATGATTCGAGATTTGAGACTTTGGCACGCCGGGATGCCGAACGAAAGCGACCATCATCGGATCATGTTAGGACTCGGATACCAAGTAAGCCTTTGAGTCGTGCCATAACCATCATTCAAGGTAGTCAGGCTGACATCGCTCAGAGTCCATACTTCCCCAACTATGACCAGACCCTGCATCTACCTGAGACGCAAAGATCTTTCTTTCTGAACCATCCTAGTGACTTGATAGATATTCGAGCGCAGTTCTGGAAGCCGGATGAGTTGGACAAAACCAGAGCTGACGAGGACTTTGAACTTCGAGCAGAATACCTCAAGTAGTTTGTGGAAAACACCTTGATCAGGCCCAAGCGGCCATTCTGATACTCAACTATTGAGTATTTGAACATAAACACTGCCTTCTATCAAGGTGAAAGCTTGTTTACGGAAGCTTCCACCATCACACATAGAATTCAATGGTGATTTGCAATATATCGAAACAGTTATAGTGCAGATATTGACTTTACGCCGCAAAAGTATGGCTTGTACGTACTTAGTAATACTTCATCATGGTACTCAACACCTCTATTAATTATCATTCCAATGAGAACTACTAGTGAATGTATTGTCAATGGTTCCTGAAGTCTGGTGGACCAAGCTGTCGGCTTTCGAGCGCGCAAAAAGTAAAAATTCAGATTCAATCCATAGAACCCGGCCCTCGTATTTACCCATTCCAGCTTATCCCGTTAAGCGGTCTGCATCTCAAGCTCGCTGCAAGTCAGTCGCGCCTCCAGCATCTCTTTCACATCGTCATTCTGTAATCTTCGAAGTAAACGACTCTCACAAGCCCACGATGAATGTCTTTCCACCCAAAAATGGCCCATCGACGGCACCATACATCCAACACCAATTCCACAGCGAGCCCCCGAAGAAGCGATCATTCGGCGTTCACCTCAACAAATTCCTGCAACCTAGGAGTGATCCCGACCGCATACAGCTGGGGCCCAGACCGTTAGATGTCCGCTTCTGGCTCACTGTTGCCGCGAGCCTGATCGTCGGCTACTTTGCAGTGGAAGTCTCGTTCTTCTGGATGTTTCGTGTGGTTGGAATGCGTTGGGGCGACGTCACATTGTGGGACTTGTCGCTTATTGCCGTCGCTGTAGCGGGGGCTTTTCTGGTCACATTCCTGGCTCTGTCATCAATCAGAAACCCTGGAGAAAAGGCAGCAAAGGGCCATCATGTCTGTTGATGGCGGGACCGAATCAAGTGTTGGAGGAGCATGATAGGAGCGGCTGGGTCGGTCCACCATTCCATGATGATGCTCGGAAGCTATGTGGAAGACTATCTTGCTTGTCTTCGTGTATCAAACTGCAGCTGAGGTGTCAGCAATCAGTCGACATCGTTCACAGCGCATGTCCTGGGACGTTTTCGAAGTTGGAAAGTGCAGCTTGTCTGGGGATAGGGGGATACCAAAGCCCACGCGTAGGGTCCATGGTACAGACGTTTGCTTCGTGGTGTTCTATTTCACCTCATGTCAGTAAGTTAGCACCAGTGGAAGGCAATGCACTATCTATCCCGGAGAAAGTTCTTGACACAATGAGAGCACAAATACGTTTTTTCTTCTTGCGCAGATCATAATACCGATGACCTAGAATAAATCGTCATTACATCGCTTTGCTTTCATGATACTTCTGGGGAATATTGGCGAGACGTAAACATATATGTAGCTGTTGCCATCTTGATAAAGACGCTTATATCGCCCATCACCGCCCATCATTATTCCGGAGGAGAGACTCTTCATACCCCAAAGACAAAAGCCACGACAGCTTAATCTTGATATGCGTCTTCGCCTCGAACGCTTTCTTCATGGAAGCAAACCAAAGCTTTGATGTGTCAGGCAGATACCTCTTTCAACCCAAGTCCAATAAAGGCCCTCTCACAATCTATTCTGTGCGGCTATGCTGGTCTAATAGAGCGACTACGACCTTTTATAAGAAACGGTTTGAAGCAACGGTCCAATAAAAGCTGCTACACACTTACTCACCGAACTATTCCAAGTGCAAGGTCAACCACTCAGATTTGTGCGATCCTATCTATAAATTTACGTGCCGTTCTTTCTGCGCTTCTTCTTCCCCTCACACGCCCAATGTCGTGTTCACCACGTGGATTGGTGTAGGTCACCTCACTGGATTCCTCCCTCTCTGGTGACAAACCGAAGCCTTGCCTTGTATCTAGGCCTCTGTATACAAGGTATCTACTACAGACATTTGCGGTGACAATGTCTTGCTATTACCGTCCTCGAATAAGCGCAGAATTCAAGTGACGCCCAGAGAAAGGATACGCTTCATCCGCCTTCCAGTTCCCATTCCCTTCACATGTACTCCAAACACAAGAAATGCACATAGTGCATGAATCAAGGTAGCAAAGCGGCCGTTTCGACGGTTTTCATGTCATAAAATGTCATTCTTCTTCTCGCGCATTTATATCACATCAAGTCGTTCCAATCTGCATGTTCATGGTGATCCCGCTGTCCAAGGTCTGAAAGTGCAGAGGAGGAACTCTGGACGTGAAAAAGAGCCATGAGACAGAAGAAGCACCCAATATTTTGGGTCCTTTGGCCTCAGGTTTCTGAAATGATGGAAGAGTTGAGCGCAGCGGATTCCTAGAGCTGGATGTTACTTGGCAGAGCTTGCCATGACGCTCTTTCACCTGCAGCAAAAGAAATGGAACTGATTTCCATTCTCAAGTCATCTGTCGTCTTCGTGAAGTACCCATAATATTGCGAGACTACAGGAGCCATAGGATGGTGTCGTACTGCTGCGTCCTTGAGCATGATCACCAGAGGACACCCCGAGACCTCCGATGAAGACACAACAGAGTACCACTATCGTTATCGTTCAAAACTCATGGACACCAAGCTCGTGCATTGTGGCCTTCAAAAGCTCATCCAGTAGCACACCATATACCTCGCAGTTTCCCCTACTTAAGTCGAGCACGCAGCCAAAGAAACGCCGAGTCTGCTCACCACGAAAGGGGGCGAAGCACATAAATACGCAATCAATGGGTGATACAACTCTGTTCCAAACAAAATGACACATGCGTCGCACACCTGACCCAACGGGGGTGATCATATCTGCCTCACGTCTGGCACTCAATATCACCCACCTTCAAGAGCAGCACCAG